TTCTAACATTTCATAACTTCAACATTATAACATAGGTTTAATAATACTTAAGTACCAATTTAAAGTCTATTAGCATTGTGTTACAAGGGAAGCCTATTAGGGGAACATAATTCTAATTATAGTCCTCATCTCTGTTACACTGATGTGGTCATAGTTGGTATTTATAACTACCTTTTTCTATGCATTCTGTACTCTCCTGGACTTCAGCCAGCACCTCATCAGGTTGTGTATATTTTTCTGGCAGGGTGACCCACTTATTCATTCCTCAATGTGCTGTATAATATGTCATCCTCTCTGAATGCATCATTGTAATTTTTCATTGACCTTAATATCAGATCATGGCAATATTAGGAGTCACCTAAGAGATATGCTGTACTAAAACTGTGTTCATACTTTCTTCCATTGTGAAGGTAGAATCCATTTTCACCTAGAAAATCTGACCAATCATAATGGATATCACTGTAATTCCCATTCTAACTTGTTTACTCAGATGAATAAGGGGCCCAAAATAACTTACAGCAAGTGTTAGCTTTCACTGTAGTTGAATAAGAGTTTTGTTTCCTGAGATAAGCCTTCCTGTCTCTAGAACTGTGTTTTTACCAGCAGAACATAACATCTTGAGCACTAGTAGCAAATATTTTCCTAGTGAATAACTAATGATAATGGTGAGTTGCACCACTTCCACATCCAACCATTGTTTCATTCATTGCTCCCATAATTTTTCTTTGAATGCATCCAGTTTGTATGCCAAAGTGAACACAGTTGCTGTTTTCTCCAGAAATAACAGAATTTATGGAGTAGCTTGAAACTGTCACACAAGTATTGAAGTTTTATGATGTGCTTTCTATTACTGAAAAGTTGTGGTAAGGGTAACTATTTATCTAAAACCAAACTGTGAAAAAGTGTCTTAATTTAAAGATCTTCAGCATGTCATCTAATTTCTGTATTTCTGAAAGAGTGTGTGCAAGTATGTTTGCATGTATATATGTGTATGTTCTGCAGCTAACTCTTCATAGAAGTACACAAACAGAGATGAGTTAAAACCATTTACTTTAATGGGATTGATGAGTTTAGGCACATCCTGCAAACTGTTAAGCACAGTTGATATTTTATGGATAGCTAGTATATCTCTATGGATGACACAGTGCGTACATTCACTTTTGACTGAGTGGTGAAACTATAAAGCCATCCACTTACGAAAGCCTCTACCTCTATACATAGTCACAAAATGACCAAGTCAGTTTTGCTAGTATGTAACCATTGAAAGATTTGTATAGTTCTCCACAGAGACAAGATCATGCAGTGTTGTCTCAGCAACATTGATAGAGTCACCTACTTGGAGTGTAAATCATGCTGACTCTATTCTTTCTTTTATTAGTACCAGGGATCAAATTCATGACTGCGGGCTTGCAAGGCAGGTGCTTATGCCACTGGGCTAAATCCCCAGCCCAACTCATTATTTTATCTAGTTTTGTTCTCTGAAAGAGGAATATGTGCCATTTTTAAACTCTGACCTCCCCTTCAATTTTAAGAAAAGTCCTGAGAAATAGGTAGTATGAACTCTGCATTAATGTTAAAGGATTCTTTATCACTAACAATATGGTTAACCACTAAGAATGACTCTCTTAGTAAAGCACATTTGATGAAATGTTAGCCTTCTAAAAGGGACTGTTTTCTATAGTAACATTGCTGTTCCCTGATAAATTCTAAGGACTTGCCTCTTAATGCAGGATTTTTGATGATCCTGTGGTACAGTGGTTTTGAAGATTTCATCTCTTACATGGAAAATCAGTCACAATATGTCATGCAAAGTGAGCTTGGAGAATGTTAATCATCTGTTGCCATGCACTGAATCAGTAGGACTCAGCATTTTCTTTTTAATTTTAAAGAGAAAAAAATAGAAAAATAAAAACAACCCCCCCCAAATAATAGCTGTAAAGGATTTCAAGACAAGATGATAGGATTTTAGTTTTTTTCATGATCAGTCTCAAGGCCTTCTGTTCTTGTCATTCTTTCCACAGTGACATTTGTTTTTACTCATTCTTGCTAAGAATAGCTTTGCCAAATTTGTCCATTGTGGAAGTGATATGCACCCAGAAGTGTAAATAGAATAAAGGATAGAATATGCACTAATTATAGGCTCTGGTTGAACTTTTCCTCAGTTCATCAGGCATTAAATTCTCATAAAGAGAAATCAAATGCTTTATATCTCACATTTGCAGTTACAGGTAGTATTTGTGCTCATATAAGTATCTAATGCCTCTACTGGGGACCTGACAGGTGCTCAGGTGCAGGGGGCAATAGCTTTAAATACATATGAAGCTTTACTTTGCCTCCTGCCACTCATGTAATGAGTGGTTCCTAATATGCCATGGACCAGATACCAGGGTTGGAGATCCCTGCTCTAATGATTGTTATGTGGTAAATGAGTCTCACATATCTCATTGCATCATGCTTTGTTCTTATTATCTTTTAAAGATATTTATGAATTCAGTATTCTACTTTGTCATAATGTTTTGCGTCTCTATTCATGAGAGATAGTAGTCTATCTTTTCCTTCTTCTTGTAATGTCCTTATCTGGTTTGAGGATAAAAGTAATAGAATAGAATGATCAAGTAAGATTTCTTCGTAATATATTTTATATAAATGTCCTGTGAATTCATCTGGGCCACAAGTTTTAAAATTTATTAATTATTATTGATTCAGTTTTGTATATATATATATATATATATATATATATATATATACATATATACATACTATTCAGACTGCCTCTTTCACTTTTTTATAAATTTGAGTAGATCATGTCTTTAAAGGTATTGGCTGTTTTTTCTGGGTTATTAAAAATAGGAAACATTTTCTCATGGTACTCCTTTGTTAACTTTTCAGTGTCCATGTACTCTACAGTCCATGGACTCTCTGTATTTTCTTTTAATTCTGTTGTCAGTAATTTGTGTCCATTTTCTTTTCCCATTTACCCTCATCTGAAGCTTATAGATTATATTGATTTGTTCTAAGGAATAGCTTTTTCTTTTTGATTTTTATTGATGACTTGTTTTTAATATCATTAATTTGAGTTGTAATTTTTATTATTTATTTCATTCTGTTTACTTGACTTTGAAATTGCTCTTTCAATACTGGTTTCCTAAGATGGAATCGTCTTTGTATTAGTACATGTTTGCAAAACATAATATTTATATTGCTTATCTAGAGTTGATACACGTACAAAATACATCTTTATTTTTCTATTTATGTCTTTAATTTTATTTTCTGTCATTGTGATTTAAATTGACATACTTCTACCTTCTTTAGTTTCTTAGTTTATAAATTACAAATCTAATTTTCATTGCTTCCATTAGAGTTTGCAATAATCTAAATTTACTTTCAAATAATACTGTATCCTTCATGGCAAAAGACAGAATACCTGTAATACTTTTTCTACCTTTTTCTGATTGCTGTCATTCTTTTTCCTTACTTACAATCATTTATAATTACCTGTATTGACAGGTATATTATATCTAATCAGACATGCTCTTGCAATAATTTTGAACACCCTGTTAATTGTTAAATCAGTGAAAAATAAAAAAATTAAAGTTTTACTTTCAGTTTTTCCTTCTCTGTGCAATATAGGTATGTGCATGTGTATATACTCTTCATTTAATAGAAATTTCCTAACCTACTTAACATGGTATCCTAGTATCTGTAACGTTGCTCAGAACACTTATGTGAGCCTGCAGTTCACAGAACTGGCTAACACCAAGCCTCTTTTGTAATGCAGAATCTCAGGTATGTAGACTAACTAGTTCATTTTCAAACCATAGAAAATCAAAACTAAAGACAACTTCTGAAGGAAATCAGAACAAAAATAAATCCCTTATCAAAAGTGAAATATAACTTGATTTTTCTCTAAGAATCCATGCAAGCAGGATTTCATGGAATGTACATAGAAGGGCTTTTTGCAGACATGGTAGGAGTAAAATGTCTAAGCACAATATCAAAAAAAATGCTAGTTGCACAATGTACTGCAGATTAAGAGTGATTCACTGCACTGATTGTGTGGTTGAGAAGGCCCTGCTGTTTGTATTTCCTGTTTAGTATCTAGAGTGTTGCATCATTTAATAGCAGCTCAGGAAAAGACTAAATAATTCTTTAACAATGTAGCATACAATCCAGGGAGAAGACGCACATTTTATAGGCCTGTGATTGAGTTTCGGTCATTTTGCCGGCCTCTGTTTTTATATATTTATTTTATATTTTGAAGAGAATAAAAAGAAGACAAAACCATGGCAATATAAAATGATAAAGGACTTCAAATCAAGATGATAGGAAATTAACAGTGATTATTATGTTTTGTATTATATGCAAAATAGTTGTTCAAATAACCATATATAGGCATGCAAAATTTATTAAACAATATAAGCACTGTTTCTTTCCATGAACTATTAGAATTATTAGTACAATTATCTCAGCTAATGTATACATTAGCATATATATATATATATATATATATATATATATATATATATATTTCCTTTCCCCCATATCAGTTGGTCTTTCCTTTTAGCAGTTACTTCACCTTATACAAAATCTGTTCTATACTTTGCTCTTTGTTTTCTTACACTAAAGAGACAATTTTTACACAGTTTTTACACAAGCACTTCTGACTTATGAATATGGTCTTTTCAATTTTTTTTTAATTTTTAGTGAGCTTTAGGCCTGTCTCTTAGTACTTCCCTTCTCCCTTGTTTAACATGACTGTGGTTTTTAAGAGTCTTAAACTTGTCTATCTTCCTTTATTATTAAAATGGATCTTCTGTGTCTGTGCAATTCTTTAGAAATTATTCAAAATTTCTCATGTGTTAATGAGAGTAGTTGCTGGAATCTGGCTTCCTTATTTTGTATATAAGTTCAATTTTTCTCTATAAAGTTTGCATACTAAAAAATATAGTAAGCCATTACATACAATTATAAATGCTAATCACTCTCTTTCTCTCTCATAGATATTCCTTTGTGGGCATGACTATGGCCTTAAAATTTGTAGGAGTTATTGTATGCATTATATTTTTTCAACTCTTGAGGAAAAAATGTGAAGGACAAAATACCAAGGCATTCAATAATGAAGGAAAAATCACAGATGAAGCAAACCTCGAATCATCAAATGACTATTCTGTACCTTCTACAACACTCAAAGAAACACATATGTAATGGAAGAAAAAGTACTTCTCTTGCTGTTTCCAAAAACAGTACATGGAAATGCTAGAGTGCTATTTTTTAGTTCCTAATGACTTCACTGATAATTTCCATGAAATACAATGATAAAACAATGAATAAATTTTCCAGAAGGAAATAATAAAGACAAATGAATGTGAATAGTTATTGGTAGAGCATTGCTATGCACTTGAATAATGTTGGAATATATGATGTATGTAAATTTGAAATGAGCAGCTTGGCTAATGTATATTAGAAGAAAAAAATGTTTCCTCGGTTAATTGTAACTCTTCCTAAGATTGGTGAGTTGAAAATAAATAAAGGTGAAAAAGAGAGAAATCTGAAGTCTAAAACAGCAAAAGTCTATTGTTTTAGCAACGTAACAGTGGGTAATGTTACTATAGTCTGAAGTCTAACCTGATGGATGATGCATGCAATCTTGACCTGTATTATTGATGTAAATCATATATTTCACAGACCTCATTAATGAGAGTCTGAAATTATGTTTGGCTATTGACCAAAGTGCATTTTCCTCCAAAAACATACTGATGAAGAAACTAAAATATTAAAATAATTACAACCTCTGAATGTAAGAAAACATATTAAAGAACATAAATTTCTAGCACAGCAATGGAAATGGATGAAGGAAAACTAACCTTAGAAAGCAAATATTATTTAAGGAGTATGTTTTCCTTTTACCTGTCCGTTCTCTGGCAAAAGTGGTCTATGCCAGAAAAAATATAAGCTATCATCATTTTCTAATTCTATTTTCTTGTTCTTTTGTTTTTGTTTAAAATGTATCACTTTTACATTTCTTTTAGCAGAATTAGAAGTAATGTGAATAAGAATATATGTTTGAATATTGTATTTTCCAGTGGAATTGACTCAGTGTAATGGATGCTGCTAGTTGTATGTCTCTTCTTTCTCATTGTTTGCCAAGTTTTTGTGCCGTGTTTACAGGAGGATCACCTGTGAAAAAAAATATATGTAATGACAGAGACACTCCAGCACTTTTGATTTAAAACTTCTATGATGCATTCTTTACATAACATATAAAAGAATTGTTTATCCTGATAGGAGCCCTTCATAGATGACAAAGAATAGGTCAAAATGTATCTGAATAATTCAAAGACATGAATGCTTGCCTAATGTTAACAATTCTTTTGATATTTATGCATAATAACGTATTTTGAGGGTGTAGATCTAAAACCATAAATACAATAGAGAAATGTACATGGAAAGTTTTTAAGAATTAAACTAAGTATACAATTAAAATGTACTTTGAAAAAGATAAAAATCAGAAAATGTTGAAAATATCAAATCACTGCTGGCATTAAACTTAAATTCCAAATTTTAAATTCAAAAATTATAAAGAGGGAATTTGTGAAAAAAGAACTTACAGGGAAACCTAAAGTGCTAACCTAAGAAATATTAAATTCCTTAGAAACTGGAAATGGAAAACAAACTTTAGTCAAAGACAGTGGAGGAGAAGGAATGGCTTCCTCCCATGCATACAGATGAGTATATTGGCTGGAGTGTCTGTTTGTACCCCGACACTGCTCCTCCAAATGTTTTGTGCCAGGGACTTGTTACTATGCATCTTATTCTTCCTGAAATAACCTTTTTTTCTCTATTTAACCACTTTTCAGTGTTCTATCACCTTTCTGTATCATCGCCTGTAAAATTTTATTATACCCATAAATATATGTAGTATAGTCAAGCTACAATTTTACTCTTATTTGTAACTATTGGTTAACTCAAAGCTCTCTCACAAATCATAAGGTCCATAAAAATAGAAGTTAAACTCATTTAACCACATTGGAAATACATAGTATAAATAGGATGTATTGGAAAAGAGAAAGAGACAGAGAGAAAGAGAGCGAGAAACAGAGAGAGAGGAGAGAGAGAGAGAGAGAGAGAGACAGAAAGACAGACAGCGACAGAATGAGACATACACAGAGTTGCAGAGACAGAGAGAAGTAAGAGTTTATTATATAAAGGAATTCATCATTCAAGTGCTTATAAAAGCTGTAGGCCATCCGCAAGCTTGATACTAGGGAGGCCAGTGACATGGATGAACCTATACTCAAGTCCTGAAAACCCAGAAAAACAAGTGGTGTACTTCTCATTTGAAACATTAGGCCTGAGAATGCTGGAAGAGACCTCTGATACTGATCCCAGAGTCATGTTCCAGGGCAGGAAAAGTGGGATATACTGTCTACAGGAAAAAAAGAAAATTTGCTTTTCTCCCTTTGTTTGTTTCATTTGGACCCCAGACAATTAGTTGGTACCTGTTCACATTAGGAGGATCTTCCCACTCATTCTTCCTCAGACTTCTTATGTCAGTGTCATCTGGAAGCATCCTCACACACATACCCAGAAATGAGCAAATTCTACTCTTCTAGTCAAGTTGATAAAATTAACTCCTGCATCCATGTATTTAATTCCTATCACCTAGCTTGCTGTACAATCCAAAGGAGCTACCTTATTTATAAATTTGAAAGAATCAATGAAGGCATGGATAAAGTTTCCAAATTACTAGTCTTATGAAATATGAATTCTACAGATAAGAACTTTGAGTATTGTGTAAAAGTTAAAATAGCTACAATAAAGCCAAGGGATGTAAGACATTATTTCAGTTGCTTGGTAAATGTCTTTATTGTAAAAGAAAAGCAAGATTTAAATTGTAGAAACAGAAATATTTTCTGATGCACATCTATGTATCAAATACAAGGGAGAAAAAACATTTAGAAAATAGAATCTTTCCCTGATGGTCTAGTTATAAATGAAGTGGAGAATTATATACGTATCATTATTGTGTGATGTATAGTGACTATTATCACAGAATAAAACTGTTGATCATTTAGAGAGATCATGGTAATCTGCTTCATATTAAACATGTGTATCCCTGGGGATTTTACTCAATAAACAATTTCTTGTAACAAAACTATTAAAAGCTATCTCAGAATAATCAGCTGTAAGAGGAAAATGTTTAGAAAGAAAAAATGTTTGCCAATAAATAGTTTATTCTAAAACAGAGAAAATGCAATCCTTTTCAAAATACTTGTCTTTTTCTGACATTTATTTTTCAAACTACTTCATGGAGTTTAAATAAATTGCATTGTGTGAGACTTACTAAGAATCAATTTATATTTTAGCCTAACTACAACCAACCTGAAGTTTTACTTGAAACAACAATCAACTTGATATTTATTGTGGATGTTTTGAGGGAAGGAAATGTACCTAACTCAGTCTTGTTTAAAAAAAACCAAACATATAAACAAAAACTACCACTGTGTCAAAAACAGCATATAGATTAGGATCCAAAGAGAGAAAAAATAATTATCTGGATAATTGAGATCAAAACTGCCAACCTTATGCAAATGATAAAGAAATTCCTATCTTTAATATTTTTACCTACATTATATGAGGAAAAAATTTAAAGTATTTGCAAATTAGAATCCAATGCTCAGATACAGGAAACAAAAGGTAATTAAGTGTACATGTAGACAGCAATATAAATTTTCCTTAAAGAAACGAATCTAGTTTTCAGATAGAATACTTTTAGCAAACGTAGATAGACTTCAAAGTCAGAAATTTTTAATGCATTACATAAAAGTTCTATCAAAAAGGCCAATAGGAATTTACCATGCTCAGTTCATTTCCAAAGGATGTTTCACAACTTGCAAGACAAGCTGACATGTATGATAAACATTTGTCTCCACACAAAGGATCACGTATTTTAGTTGTGGAGTCACAAATTTTATTGCAGTCAGCAAGGACATTACCTCCCACATATAAATCTTGTTGAATTCTGAAATGATTTAAAATAATACGATGAAAATTGAAAGTCTATTCAAACATAAATTTTCCTATTTTTTATTGCAACCCCCAATCCCCCCCTCTGTATCTATCTCTCTATCTCTCTCTCTCTCTTTGTACCAACGACCAAAGTCATGATCTTGTGCTTGCCAGGCAAGTGTTTATGTTCCTGAGCTAAATTCCTGTCCAGAATTTCTCTCTTTTCCCATAATAGAAATGTTTCCTAACAATTACTGTGTAGCCTACCTACACATTACAGTTGTGGCATAAAAGCTGTGTACTTCAAGAGCGATAGAATTCATTTATTTCAGAAAAACTTTTAATCAATAAACAAGTATTAATAGGTGCTTACCATGTGGAAAGCATTTTGCCAGGTATTATTAGAATTGAAAGTTGAAGACCTAATCTCTGTGGTTGGTCCATATGGTAGGAATGAACAATATGGGCTAACTTCAAGATTGAAACCTGTAATTTCCATTTGTAATGCAGAAAACACATTTAGTGCCTAAAACCTAGATGCTTGATTGAATAAGTATGTTATTCTAGTAAAGAAAGTGTCCACCATTTGTAATGACTGAAAGACCTTCAAAAGAAAGTTTAGGCTGAATTTAAACCCTAACTCTGTGACTTTATCCCAGTAAATCTTCTATATGTATGTTCAGAGATGGGTAAAATCTTCAAGATTCATTTTTGAAATATGCATTTTGTTGGTATTGTTTGTGGTACTGGAGATTGAACTTTGCAATCATCTACATATCCAGGAAGTTTTACATTTATACTGTAACTAAAAAGTACTGCCATACTGTTCTGTATGTGCTGTCACCCTGGTAACCTGTTTGCTGTGTTAACCTTTGTTTCCTTTATGAGGGATAATTGTTCCTGGAATCAGTTAACCTTGAGTTATCTGTATTCATCTCGATATTTGTCTCCCTTTTGTGGAAGATAGTTGATCCTGAAATTAGTAGGCAAAGTGTTCTAAGTTCTTGTAAAGAAGGAAATGGCTGACTGCCAACTCTGAAACTTCTCTGTCTTCAAGCAGAGGAGAGCAGAGGTCTTCCTCATTCTTGTTCCCCCACCCATCATTTACATTGTGATAAAAGTCTGTCAAAATTCAACACAGTTGCACAGGTTTGGAAACTCCAACTGCACTATTTCGCTGGTGCCACCTTAAATAAAGTGCTCCCTTTTCTTCTAAAAAACCTCTTGCCCATTCTTTGGACAAAAATCTTAGGGTCTCATTTTTGGGGTACAACATTTGGGGGTTGGGATTATTTGGGGAACCCTCGCCAGATTATTTTTCACCATTCAATCAGCTTTAATTTGTATAAGTTTTGGGTCTGTTTGTCCATTGGTACTTTGGGTGTGCACATTTGTTTGCATACATGCCAAGTGTTCCTTGTGCACTGGGGTGGGATGCCCTCCAGGGGCTTTTTGCCTTTTTGTAATTTGGTGCTGTTTTCTGTTTATAATTTGGGGCTTCTTGCCCATTTGTTTTATGTTCAGTGTTTTTGTACTTTGGAGTTCTCTGCCTGTTTAAATCTGTTACTAACTCTGGGATTTTTCTTATTTGAAATTGTTTAATTTGTTACTAACTTAGAGGCTCATTGCCCATTTATGTTGCAGGCTCCATGTGGTCTATTGGACTCAACGGTCATAATGAAAATTATTTACCTTTAGCTCACTGGTCTGTGGACAGAAAAACCTTTGTTTGCATCTTTAATGTTGGTCTTTTCTTTTGTGGCACCTTGTTTTATGTTTTAGTCCTCAATTGATTACTTGCAACCTTGGCATACCTTTAAAAGTACTTTTCTTTCTGGTTAAAATGTGAATATATATTCTTTTATGGGTTTTAAAATCATATTAACTACCGGGGGCTAGGGATTTAGCTCAGGGGCATAAGCACTGCCTTGCAAGCCAGCAGTCATGAGGTTGATTGCCTGTACCAATAAAAAAAAAATTTTAAATTCATGTTAATTACCAAGTGAAACCAGGTCATACTCTAATTGAGCCAGTTAAGAAATTTACAGTTTTTAAAGTGTAGCATTTTAAGGTGGTGAGAAGACAAAAAATGATTCAATATATATTTTAGACTACTGAAACAATTCAGTTCAAGGATTTTGTTGAAAGTTTTAATGTTGTTTGAAAAATGATAGTGAATTGACTGGTAATTAAAAAAGAGGGACAAAGAAAATGGTTTCATCTTCAAGTAAAAATATCTTGCTGTGCCAGAACATGAAAGAGGATACAAAAAGTGCAATTTGAGGGTGTGTAGTAAGTAGTAGAAATCTTGAGTGGATGCAAATTTTGTTTGCTTTGGTTTATAGTATCTTTGAATAAAGGTTTTCTTCTTAAGTGAGAGAGAGTCAAAAATGTTCAGATTTTGAGACAATTGGATTAGTAAACCTTTACTGCAAAATATTTTGGATACATGTCATTTGACACCTTATGGTATCAACCATTTGGCACTAATGAGCCTGGCTCCTGCTCAATTCCTGCATTTTGATGTAAAGCTAAAAACTCTTGTCTCAGAGCAGGCTCATAAAAATAGAATGGGTCCCAATCCATGTTCAGCAATAAATGAGGAAATGCTTTGTGGAACAGGAATTTGGGGTTCCCCAATTGAAGGAACAGTTGTTCTTGTGCTGAAAAAAGCTGACTTGAATTTAGAAGGAATAACTATTGTGCCTAGTACAATTGATGGTGATCATAGAGATAAAATACAAGTTCTTGAACGTGCTGTGGATATCTAGGTTTTTGAACAGGGAGACTACTTGCCACAGTTGATTTTTTTTCCAAGTGCCACACCTTTGTGTTATGAGGAATCTGACCAACAACAGGGTTTCTTTTTACCTTATGTGGTACCTATTCCAGTTAACTTGTGGGGAAGAGAATTTACTACGAAAGTGGAAATTAGAGCTGACTAGTGATTCTGATTTTAAAGCTGAACAAACAGGTTCCAATTTGGAAACTGAGCAAATTGATTCAAATCCTAAAATTAAGAAAATGATTATTAAAATGGGATATCAAAAAGGCAAAGGACTAGGAAAAAACCTTTGCCCCAACCCTATTGGTTCCCTGCTCTGATGCCCTTAGCTCTGCAATGGGAGCTCTCCTCTTGTCCTACCACTCTGCACTGTTGTTCACCTTTGTCCCCATTCTCTTCTTCTGGCCTCTACAACTGGAAACAGCAGAACCCATCCTTCTCTAAGGATCCCCAAGGCCTCATTTCTTTTCTGGAACCTGTTTTTTTCACTCATCATCCCACTTGAGATGACTGTCAGTAGCTGCTACAGGTACTGTTCACTGCAGAGAAGAGAGCACATTCACTCCCTGGATAAAAAGCAGTGTGTGATCCAAAAGGAAACCCATCCTGTGATCCCAGAACCGTGTTTTCCTTTTGTCCCACCCTGATTGCACAACGAGAGGTAAGGAGGCTCTTGATTGGTATCACCAGATGTTCTCAGAAGCCCTTAAGAGTGTCACCAGAAAAACCCACCAATTTGCCCAAGGTAAAGAGGTGAGACAATTGGTTAATGAGTCTCCCTTGAGAGTTTCTGGAAAGATTGCAAAAAGTCTATCCCATTTATACACCCATAGGTCTGGTAGCACCTGAAAATGCAAGGGCCATTAATACTGCCTTTGTAACCCAGTTGGCCCTTGATATTGAGTGAAAATTGCAAAAGCTTGAGGAATTTGAGGGAATGCCACTGAGTCAGTTATTAGAGATTGCTTAAAGATATTTGACAACCAGGAGAACCCTAAAGACCAGAAATGGACAGAGTCATCCAGCCTAATGTGAACTCTCATCTGCTCCTAGATAAAAATCAATGTGTTTATTTAAAAGAGAAGGGGCATTGGCAAGAGGACTGTCCCAAGCTTTTCCATGGCGTTAGATGAGCTAGGCTATAAGTTGGGCCTTTTTCTGCAAAAAAAGTCCCAACTATGTCAAAAGAATGTGACCTATGTAGGTTACCAAATCCATGAAGAAAATGGACTCTTTCCTCCCAGCAGGTGCAAGCCATCCAACAGATTCCATTCCCTGTGACTAAAAAACAAGTGCGAGAATTTTTAGGAGCCATAGGATATTGTTGGCTTTGGATTATTAATGTTCCTGAGATAGCTCAGTCTCTTTATGACTATTTAAGGGGTGCCACTTTGCCCTCTAGAGTGGACAGACTCTCAAGAGCAGGCTTTTAAACATCTGAAACTGCCCTTAACTGAGGCTCCTGCTCTGGAACTGTAACATCTGCTAAAACCTTTTTCTCTCTATGTTGATGAGAAGCAAGGGATAGCAAAAGGAGTACTGACCCAGAGTTTGGGACCCTGGGAGAGGCCTGTTGCCTATATTTCCAAGAGACTTGATAATGTGGCAGCTTGATGGCCACCTTATTTATGGGTGATTGCCTCTGTGGCTCTCCTGGTAAAGGAGGCTCAAAAATGACTTTTGGATGGACACTCTTAATTGTCTTCTCCCATTTGTCCTGGAGACTCTCATCAAGGCTCCACCAGACCTATGGCTGCATATCTCCTGAGTCATGCACTATCAGGCATTACTTCTGGATCCAACTACCATCAGTTTCAAGAGTACAGTGGTTTTAAACCCTGCTACTATGCTGCTTGATATGACCCCTTCCTTGCCCCTCCACAACTGTATTTAGGTTATTGGTCGTCTCACAGGGCTTTGATCACACTTGATGGATGAGCCACTATCCAGAGTTCCTTTGTATTTCTCTGATGGAAGCAGTTACATCTATCAAGGTAAGTGGGTCATGGGAGTTTCTGTTACTACAGACTATCAGATTCTATGGGAATCAACCCTGGAGCCAGGAACATCACTCCAATGGGTTGAATGCATAGCCCTCATGGAGGCCCTCAAGTTGTCAGAATTTGCATTTCTCCTGCCCATGCTTGAGGGGCCATTTATCAAGAAAGGTGATTATTAACTTCTTGCAGCCAAAAGATCAAAACGCTCCCCAAATTTTAGATTTTTTGGCTGCCATTTGGATGCTATTGTAGTCAGGGTTTATACACAGAGCACAACTATGATTAGGACATAGAGTTTATAATATTTTTATAATGGTCACTGGAAGTTAACACAGAGAAAATGCAGAAAATCCACAACACCAAAGATATAGATATTTAGTCAAGAGTCAAACCCCACAGCAATGTCCCACATGAGTCCAGATAAAAGCCCAGAGCTCAGGACAATGCCTCCCACGAGTCCAACAGGAGGTCTAGAGCTCATAAGAAGGATTCACCCCAGTCTCTTTTATGGATCTGTGCCAGGAAGAGCCAAGGGTCAGCGGTGGAAGCCAGAAAGTCTATGCCAGCAGGATTAAGGAGCTTTGCTAGTGGGATGAGAGTTCTATGCTGGAGCCAAGAAGTCACACTCACAACAAAGACCAGGTTATCCTGAAAGGCACCACAGCTGTCCTCAGTGACATGGAGGCCCCGAGCTCCTCCAATGACAAGCACAGTGGTGTATTTGCCAGGAAGCAGTGTGAAGAGTTCATCCTGGAGACCAAGCAGCACATGTTTCCCCTCTAGAGCCAGGAAGCAAAGCGCGATGTGAGGACCAAAGCTTCTCCAGGAGAGCTAAGAGCTCAGACAGCTACTCATAGGAGAACTCACAATGCCTTTTAATGCCTCAACCCTCCGACACCTCCCTTCTTCTCCACCTATTTATCCTGTCAACCCTCCTCAGGTGGAGCATCTTTCACTCAATACATACTGATGTAATCCAGCTGGCATTAAGTTGAACACCAGTTCTCAACCCATAACTGATGCCAAGGAAAGTGGCTATCTTCCATTGTAAAGCTCATCAAGTGGGACATGATCATGGTAAAAAATCTGGCAGATGCTACCACCTGAAAGGTAGCCGCAAAATTAGTGGGGATTGAGACAGCCCCGACATTACTGCTGATCCCACCTACACTGTCAGAGCCCATTCATAATACTCAAAAAGACTTGCTTCTGGTGGCTAAACTTCAAGCAAAGCCTAATATCCCTGGTTGCTGATGTCAAATCTTACCCAGCCTGTGAGCCTCAGATGCCATCAGTGCCAATTGGTGAACCCAAACAAATAGAATCCACTTGCTATCATGGAACCATGTCTGGAGAATACTGGGAAATAGATTTCACAGAGATGGGAAAGCCTAGACTTCAAGGGAATAAGTACTTATTAGTAAAGGTTGATACT